ATTGTATGATTTCCTTTGCATGTTATGTCTAGAGTTGACACGTGTACAGATAGAAATTAGACGAGGATTGGGCAGGGCAAGGGTGGGGAGGGGGATGGAAACAGAATAGTCTTTCCTACTGAAGTGGTGAAAATGTTTTCAATTAACTGTGGTGATGGATCCACAGCACTGTGAGTACCATAAATGCTATTGAACTGTATATTTAAAATTGGTAAACTCGATAGTAAGTGAATTGTGTAATAGTTTTTCTGTTCAAGAAAGTTTATAGCAGATTTATTTATAGTTACCCAAACTGGAAGTCACTGAAAAGTTCAATAGGTGAATGGATAAGTAAAGGGTGGCATATATATACAATTGAATATTACTCACTATTGAGAAGAAATAAGCTTTCAAGCCATAAAAAATATAGAGGACACTTAAATCCATATGTCTACGTGAAAGGAACCAAGTTAAAAAGGACACATACTGCGCAATTCCACCTTATATGTCATTCTTGAGTAAGCAAGAGTAATGGAGACAGTGAAAGCATCAGTGGTTTCACAGATTAGTGGGAAGGGAGGGATGAAGAGATGGAGCACAAGATTTTTACGGTAGTGAAACTATTCTGTATGACACTGTAGTTGGGGACGCATGACATTATATATCTGTCAAAACTCACAGACTGTGCATCAATTTGAACTCATGTAAATTGTGGACTTGGAGTAGTAATGAAGTGTCAGTGCGGGTCTCTTAATTGTAACAAATGCGCCATTTTGGTTAGGATGCAGACAGGGGAAGGCTGTGCTCACATCCAGTGGGGACAGCAGGGATACAGGAAGTCTCTGTACTTCTTACTTAATTTTGGTGTGAGCCTAGAACTGCTTTCAAAATAGCCTTCTAAGGGGAGGAGGTGAAGCAGGTGGGAAGAGTAGCAGGAGGAGAAAGAGAACAATAGTCTACGAGACCAAGCCTCAGAGAGTATTCCCTTGACCCTCTCTGGCAGACACATTACTTGCTCTTTTACCTAAGTTCTCACCTGTACTATGCCCGCTTCTTTTACTGTTTTTGTGGCATTGTGCTGCAGTTGTTTGGAGGTGTCACCTCTTCAACTATTGCCACTGGATAGGGTCTAAAGAGGCCCCCCAAACTGGAGACAGGAAACCTTGAGTCACCCCAACCATGGGGCAGGTTGCCGGTTCACTGACTTCCATCAGAAAAGAATTTGCAGGTCATGTCAGTAAGAGGTATAAAAAGATTTATGCAGAACTTTAAAAGTACATAATCAAGGGCCAGGGATTTAGTTTAGTGGTCCCACCACCTGCTTTTCAAGTGCAAGGACCCGAGTTTGATCCCCTGTACCAAAAAAAAGGACATAATCAAATAAACAAGAGTATGGCCCTCAAGAGGGCCCTATGAGCCTTCAGAAGCCACTGAGGCTTTGAGAGTTTTATGTAAATGTGGGAGTTTCTCTGAAATGAGCTTCTAGGATGTGTATTCGGGTGGGACATATTAAAATATAAACTATTTACATGTGTTTAAAGATGAGTTATGCTATCCTCTTAATAGTGTGCTTTCAGAATATAGAGGTTTGTAGAAAGGAGTGTAACTTAAAGGGGAAAGGTAGGAGTCCAGGACGCAATTTATAGGCTTATTGTCTTTAAGAACCTTAGGAATTTTTCCTGGAAGAAAGTTTGAATAACTTTTGTGTCTTGAGGCTGCAGTTTTTCTTTCTTTTTATTGAGTTTATTGGTACATTCTAGGTATACAGTACAGTTACATTCATTACTGGGATCTTGTACCTTTACATGACAGGTCTTGGTTCTCATTTTTTTTCCCTTGTCCCTGCCCTCCCTTCACTCCCTCTTCCCCTCCCCACTGACAAACACTTTATTTCCATTTTTTCATTTTAAGTGGGAAGGGTAGGGGAAAGGGAATAAGGGAAAAGTAAGAAAATATGAGAAGCTGCAGTTTTTCTTTACAAGTACAATTTTAGTATTACAATTTTTCTTGTCTCCTTTCTCCCTATCTTTATTTGTCTTATCTAGCTATGACCTGCCTGAGGGCAGAAACAATAGCCTGTTTTATAATAGTCCCAGAAATGCTACACAGCAGAGATGAAATATGTAGAGGACCTCCTACAGACACTGTTCGTCAATGGGGTTTAAGGATTTTAGCTCAGAGTCTGATCTTCTTCAGGCTTTTCGGGACCCTGAAAACAGCTGCCTCCAAGTGTTTTATCCCAAGACAGAGGTCAGAAAAAGTGAAAGAATTCAGGAAAGATCCTAGGACGCGGAGAACATGAGACTCCTAAAGTAATAAATTATCTATATTGAGAATCCTCACATTGCTGCTTACTTCTCTAGCAGAGCTTTTGGGAAATCCTCCTCCTTGGAGACAGTATGCCCAAGTACACTGAGAGATGCAGGACTACATTTGTGTGGTGACGCCTGTCACCTAGGAGGGTTTCATAGGGCGATAAGATGTCAGTGCACCAGAAGCCACCTCCTCCGTCTCCCAGCGGCAGCATGAAGTGCCCTGCATGAGTGGTTAGCCAGACGAAGATGTGGGAGATGTGTTCCTGACAGAGAGAGCATTTTAAACTTTATTATTTACTTAGGCCCAACTGCAAGTCAGGTGTAGTTTGTGGGTTTTGAAAGCAGGACGTCAAAGGATGCTGGAGAAAAACCATAAAGACACTGGTGCTAATGGAAAGGCAGTTTCCAGAGAGGTGATAGAGCACCCAAAACAACTTTTCTTTACTTTCTAGATTTGTCATCACTTAATGGACAAAACCAATACTCTTAACTGCATAACTCCTTTAATTATTGGAACTTGTTGTGGGTTTTAACTGTAGGCACATCTACAAGTAAAGACATCTAGCCAGTGATATTATGTTAAAAGAGAACAGCTAATCTTCAATCACCTTCTTGAAGAATCATTAATTCAGATTGAAAAGCTGAGGAGAGAGGCAGGGAAGCCTTGAGTTAGGAGTGGGACATTCCGGCAGTAAGGACCCACATTTCCCATCTATTCCACAGACTGCTTGGCAATTAGTAAATACGGCGACCTCTCCTCTTCACATAGGTGGTCATTTCACTTGGTACACGTGTTTCTACAGCCCCCTCAGCATGAGCTCCTTTAAGGGTGGAGCCTAGACCTGCTGATGTCTGTTTTCTTCACTTCCACCACTGAAAAGTTGTTAAATAAAAATGGGGCTGAGGTTCCCTGTCAAGGAACAAAGAACACAGCAGCTCATGGCAGATTTTGTCCTCCAGACAGGTTTCTCGCTCCTGTGTAACCGAAAAGAGACACTGTCTGGCTGGGAGGCTCTGATCCACATGGAGACCAGGTGAGAGTGCTAGATGTGGATGTGAAATAAATGGCCTTATAGTTCAAGAAAGTCGTGAGACATTAGGAGGACAGTTCAGAGGATAGCCAACAGGAAGGTACAGACTTCTGAAAGAGGGGTGATGTGTGTGATGTGGGGATTACTTAAATTGGACAAGAGGAGTCTAAATAGAATTTGGTAGCTCATTTGGACACTTGCAGGGTTATTGTGTAGAGCATGCTCACCTTGTCAACTTTATTCATGTCTCACAGGGGAGTCAGTGAGACTAAACGCCTAGATCTCACCTGCCATAAGGACTAGGGGATCCATCTCTTAGCACTGCACCCTATCCCTGCTTTGGCAAATCATACATCTCCCCTGAAATTGATGTGAGGAGCAGGGGCTGTTTTTGATCTTAGAAGAGGGGGTCAAAATGCCACATGAAGTGTTGAACTAAAAGGAAGAAATGACTGATTCTTGAATTTGAAAATACTGGGTTGTTGTCAAAGGATGTGTGTATTTTTGTGTATACAGCATGTTCATTTAGCCTTTGCACTGTTTATATTTCGCTGTGTCTGGGTGGAGGTTGAAAAATTGATGTGAGGAGCAGGGGCTGTTTTTGATCTTAGAAGAGGGGGGTCAAAATGCCACATGAAGTGTTGAACTAAAAGGAAGAAATGACTGATTCTTGAATTTGAAAATACTGGGTTGTTGTCAAAGGATGTGTGTATTTTTGTGTATACAGCATGTTCATTTAGCCTTTGCACTGTTTATATTTCGCTGTGTCTGGGTGGAGGTGAACAATCCAGGTAGTATGCCAGACCTCTAAGGCATTGGAATTGATGGAGTCCAAGTCGAGGGTTCCAACAATTATAGACAGCTAAATTAGACAGAAATTAATAGAGAGGGATCTGGCTCCAGAGGAAGTCACACACAAACCTTCCTAAAGATAAATAGCAGCTTAAGATTGTACTGTAATTAGCACCATCTGGTCAGCAAGCCCAGATAGGGTTAGATACACAGGTGGGTGACTAGAACACCTGGACCCATTATTTCCAGAAATGCCTTTGTTCTTTCCATGTACTGTATCTTCGCTACATGCCTCGCTTCCCTACTGGATCAATATTAGCTAAGTGACTATACTTGTAATCCTATAGGTTGACTGTACTTTGACCCATGTTGTTCCCACACTGTGATATTGCTGTATAAATTACCCCTGACACAGAGCTTTGGTGGCCCTCCAGCCGGGATCTCCCCCACCCCCCAAATTCAGGAGCTATTCTTCTCCTTATTTCCAATAGACTCTTTTAACTCCTCTGGTTCGTGACTTCATTCCTGGATGTTGTGAGACGATAAACTCGGCCCATCTGACACCTAACAATTTGGGAATTATTTTTCCCAAATCACAATAGGAAAGGGGGACTCAAGTAAAATCCGAGTCACAGATGGAACAAAAAGAACACCCCCTAGAGGTAATACAGGAAATGAGGAAAAAGTGAAGTTGGGAAAGGGGAGAGGGGTATGCAGTGCCGGTGGGTGGGGAGGGGCACTGACCACACCCTCCTCAGGTCTCCCCTCCACCACCTCAGCTTCTTTGTGACTTTCCCATGCTCTGTGATGCAGGCAAGGGTATATAGTCAAGCTCCTGCATGCTCAGAACTCAGTTGCCTCAGGCAGTCTCGCGATTCAGATAATGGAGAATGTTCTCTTTTATTTCTTAAATAGTTATATAGAGCCATGGCTGAGCTTTGGCTCATCTTTCTTAGATACAGACCCCCATAGCACCTTTATGAATGCTGTGGGGTTGCTCTTTCTGCTCTTTTGCTATCTGTCACTGAAATCATTTTTACCATCCTTCTGGGACAAAAAGGACATCTCAAAGGTAAGGGAGCATGGGTCAATCCCCAAGAGATTCCCAACTTCCTTCCTTACATTAGTAAATGAGTTTTGACTCAGGAAACAACTGAGATGGAAGGTCTGAGCAGAAGACAGAGCACTTCTCATTAGCACAAGAGGTCAGGCAAGGCGAGGAGATGGGGGGAGAAATGTTACCATCTAAAGTTTACACACTACCTCTCTGGGAGGGGCAGAGTGCTCCAGGATAAGATCCCAAGCAGGAATTCCCTGGTCCTGACAGACTCATTTACAATTTGTGTGTTCTGATGCTTGATCACCAGTCCTATTCCCATGACTGGTGTCCTTCCCTAAGCCTTCCTGTTTGTTGGGTTGATTAGGACAGCAACACTGACCTTGGAGAGCCAATGAACAGAGGCTGGAGCCCGAGATCTGTCCCCAAGACACAAGGGCCTCAGGAGGAGCACAGTCTCAACTCTTGTCTCAGACTCTATTCCCTCCTGGAACAGAAGACCTGACTGAGAATATCAAGTGTTGATTTTTCAGACAAAATCCTTTGAGTTTTTCAGAAATAGAAAATTTGAAGATAACTGATCATCTTAAAAATTAGTAAAAAGACTAAATGAGTAAAAGTGGAATGATTTTTGAACTCTCTTAATTAAAAGAGTTAAATGACTAATGAATGTTTGAGCTTGCTAGAGAAAGGAGTGAGATAAATGAATCCCAGCCTTTCATTCTTTTCTTTTTGTTCTCAGCTTCAGAGCAGAAAGAGGAGGAGGAGGAGAATCACAACACTTAAAGGTATGTTCTTTCCTCTTTGACCTCAGCTCTCTAAGGAGGACCCCTCCTGTTCTTTCCATGAGGTTCCAGATCCATGAGCTCTGGAAATATTAGTAATTAAACATAGTCTGTTTCAGAACACAGAGCCCTCAGAGGAGAGGCATGAAACCTGAGACTTTCAGAGCCCTGCTCTGCCCCACTGTGGGTGAAACAATGATGGACCTGGTAATGAATGGGAGCTGCCGAACAGGCCACTCTGTGAGTTGTCCAGGAAGGACCACTGGTCCCTTTGGAGTCACAACTTCTGTCTCCTGACATTGTGCAAAGTACTTCATTCCTGAACACTGAGACTCGGCTCTGAGGTCAACCCTGACTATTGAAGGGAACACATGCACATGTGAATACTCAATGCAATCCTTGACCACTAGGTTCCGTCTCTAATTATTGGGACTTTCAGACCTTAATACCTTAAGTGTTTCTTATACAGGGACTACTGTAAGATCCCTGTGTTTCTACTTTTACTATATGTCACCAATTTTCTTGGTTTTCCAGCTTGGAGAGCAGGCTTGAGAGAAAGACAGGAGGGGAGGAAACTGCTTTCAATTCTGAAAAGGTGATTAGCCACTTCCTTCTTTGCTGTTCCCTTTTTCTACAAGTTTTGTGCATCGCAGGGATTCTACATGGTTGGTCAAGGTTGGGGCAGCTTTAGCAAGTATGTGATTGAAGGCTTAAAATAAGCCATGAAGTGTTTTGTGAGGTCTGTGCTTTGTGAGGTCATAGCTGGGGGGCATTGCGAAGCGTGTAGGAGGTGTCAGGTAGCTCCACCCCAGCCAGGACAGAAGGCCTTCCTCTCCTTGTACTGGTCCTGGCACCAACTTTGTATTTTCTGTCTTTGCAGCCCTCTGGGCCAGTATCCTGATATCAACCACCTTCGTCAGTTGCTGTGCCCAGACCCCCTCTGTGACGTGTGTAACACCACAACAGCTAAGGTCAGTCGAATGCTCTCTCAGGCATCCCTGGAAGACACTGATTACTCTGTGTCCTCTGTGACTTCCACGGATTCTGATTCATCATGCACACAGACCTTTCCCATCTCAACAGTCCTTCCAAGAAACCCAATTTCAGCCCTTGTGCCCAAGTCTTCTCCATCTTCACACTCTGCTCTCCCACCTAACCCGGTCACCTCTTCAGTGGACTCACAGTCACCTGCACCACTGGGTGACTCTCAGCAAGCAGAGCCTATTCCTCCCTTGGATTCCAGATTCCCACTTGCCTTTCCCCCTCCCCTGCTAACTCAGGAAGCAAAATCGGACCTTCAACCAGAAAACACTTCATCCGTTGAGAACCCTGGTGGGTTCTCCACTAACAACTTTCATCCCATGGAAGTGTCTTTTCAGGTAGACACTGAAGACCATCTTATAGAGCCCAGAAACCTCAAATTTCTCAGCCCTGACAGCCAGGCTTTCCGGGAAAGACAAATAAAAAAGAGGGGTGATTTGCTTTTAGGCAAAGGAAAGGGAAAGAGGACAGAATCTTTCCCAAAGCAACATCAGCCAGACTCCCCACTAAGTTTTTCATGGAAAAGATCAGAGTCAGCTACTGATCAAAAGGACTCTGTATACACCCTTCCTAATTGGAACAGGGAGGGCAAATCAGAGGGGCTTCACCCACATCTGAAGCTCCCATGTCCTAAGACCTTGGAGGATCATTTAGAGCAAAAACATACTCAGCTCTTCTGGGGTCCTCCATCTCTACACGGCGAGTCACTGAACCCCACTGTACCCATCTCAGGTGACTATTCTTCAATCTTTACTTGCTCTAATGCAATCTCCAACACCTCCACAGCCCATGAACTTCCAATCCTTCCACATCCTCCACCTCTGTCCTTGCCTGAGCTCCAGCCTCAACCCTTGCCCCAAACTCTGCCCCAATGTCAGTCTCCCAATCTCCTTCCTGTGCAGACCCAGGGCCCGCTTCAGTCCCCACCCCCTCCTCTGCTACCTTCTCCTCAATGCCAGCCTGGAAGCTGTGGAGTGTGTTTTCATAACACCAAGGGCGAGGTACAGTCTTTTACTCCAGCTGAAAAGCAACACCTGGAAACTGACATGCTACTGAAAGTAGAACAAAGTATGTGGGGTTTACCTTCTGTGGTCCAAAGATCTCAGGAAGACTTCTGTCCTCCAGATCCTAAGCTTTCACCGATTAGCCAGGCCTCCAAGGCCCATGTGCCAGTTCCCACCCTTCGGGAAGATTTTCCCTGCAGCAGTGAGCTGCGAAAGAAACTAGAGCATCACCTTCAGAAGAGGCTAATCCAACACCGCTGGGGCCTGCCCCGCAGAGTCCAAGAGTCTCTGTCATTGATGCAGCCTCAGAGTAAGGTCCCTGAGACCTCTAAGTCAAAGGAAAGCCATGGGCTTTCTTGGATCTCTTTTTATAAAGGCAAGAGCAGCAAAGACTTGAGCCAGTATGAAACCTACAAGAGGACCTCAGAAATGCTGCTTCCAGAGGGAGTAGGGAAGAACCAGGGACACAGGCCAGAAATTGGCCCCCAAAACCTGTTGAGTGGCCACAACAGGATTATAGATAGTACTCAGGGCTCTTACTCAGAGAATACCCTGCAAAGTCAAGTGAGGAAAAAGCCAGGGGCCTCAGTCATGAGTGCACTGCAAGCACACTTAAGCAAGAAGTGTGGGGAAATTCATGAAGGCCAGATCCCCGGTACTGTGAATAAATCATGGCGTTCCATCAACCAGACACTTCCCTTTTCTGAGAAATCTTCCAGGCAAATAAAAGACAGAAATCAAACATCACTGGCGGGTAAGGACAGATACTTGAACACCTCCCAGGATATTTCCTTCATTAGTTCCAGCAAACAAAAGATGCTGGAAGAGCATATTAAAACTTTTCAAAGGAGAATGATGTGGGGCCTTCCCCACAAGGTCCAGGAATCCATAGACATCTCCAAAATAAAGGAGGACCTGTACCCGGCTCTTTCTCATTCCAAATTTCCCTCATCAGGCACTAGTATTTCTGATGTGGGTTCTAAAATGGAAGTCTACAAGACCCTTACAAAAACCTCTAATGCTTTTCAAGCACAGCAGATAGAATCAAATTCGGATGTGGACTGTCCTCATGCCACTTCACACGTGGGCATGGAAGGACGGGGGGCTCTGACACAGTCACCCTCTTACACCAACTGTGAGAGTACAGAGAGCATGAAGATGAGGGAGGATGGCACATGGGTTTCAGTACTGCCCTCGCACAGCAACACAGATTCAGTGAGTCAGAAGCAGACTCTAGAAGACAAGAGATGCCACTCAAAGCTGGCACTTCAGGCTGGCCCTGAAATAAATAAGAGAATGAGCTCCTGCAATGAGAAACAGAGGCTGCAGGGAAAAGTAACAACACAATGGGAGGTAGTTAAAGCAAAGGAGCTCTGTGGTCTTCAGTCACAGACTAGTAACATCTTGATGACTGGTAAATCAGAAGCCACCCTAAGGAGAGACGCTAATACAAGAAAACCAGAAACTTCCCTGACCACTAAACGGCCTCTGACAAGAGCAGCAGTTCCCCAAGACTTTAAATCATCAAACCTTCAAAATCAGCTGATGAGTGAGCTGAAGCGTAAAATAGAGAGCAGGAAGCAAAGCCAGACTCAGGGCCTTCCCGTTAATGTGTCCCCTGCCTCTAGTAACTTGAAAACCAAGACCTTACTCCACCATGACGAGGGTACCTCCTACGGGTACACAGCAGCTTCCCCAGTGATGCATGCCCACTTGGACAACACAAAACCCCACACGGGGCAGGGTCAAGAGCCCGGGGTCACTAAGCGTGTTTTATGCAAGTGTCAACACAGGAAATTCCCTCCAGAAGCAAAGAGAGTGTGTCCTCACACACTCACAGCAAGAGACCTTAGTGGAGGTGATGCACGGCTGTCTGCACACCAGCATCAAAGAAGAAACTGCCCTGACCAAGACAGGATGTTAGAAAAGACACGTGGAAGCAAGTTCTCCTCAGCCCTGTCACTGAGGGAACAGCCCCCTCCTGACAATTCTTTCAGAGATAAAATGAAACAATTTTTCCAACGGATTTGTCCTAGTGTCAAACACAGAGGCCAAGAAAGCCCCCAGAAAAAGGCTAGCTCATCATCCTCTGTACAGACCAGGGGCCCAGTTAGAGGGAAAACTGACTTTCCTGAGAACACCAAAGATCGGAAAGTCGCTACAAGTTATGCAAAAGTCCTTTGCCAGAATTCTCTGGAAGGAAGATTTATTTCTCCCAAATAATCCCTTCTTTGTGGAAAATATGGATGACTTCCAATAAATATCCTAATACAGTGATGTCTTGTGTATACGGTATGGAGGGCACAGGCTGTGGGTAATGGATTGAGCTTATGGAAAGGGATAAGTAAAGTTCTCCCTGATTGCCCCTTTGGCCTCTAGGGGACCAGTCCCCTGGAGCTCTTGTGGAATAGATACCACATGTCTCCAAAAGAACCTTCTGTCCCTAAAGTGAGGAAGGCTGTACTTCCTACCCTTAGTTTTAGTCTCAGTGACAATGTGTGGTCACCCATACCTTCTTCCTCATTCACTGCAGTGAGGAAGACAGGTCTTCTGTACATGAGAAGAGCACAGACAGGTAAGGTTTTGGGAACAGAATGGATTAAGTATTTGCAGAGACATCTCTCTGACCAGAGGCTCATATAGGAGCATAACCTTGCTTAGTGTCTTGAGGATTCTGCTATAGTGGCTCCTGGAAGATAGTGTTGGGTCTAGCAGCAGTGTAGATGCTTTGCAGGAAGCTCCTATGAGGAAGGCGTTGATGTATTTCAGAAACAATACTTTGTTTTCCTTGCCATTGAGATTTACCTACTGGAAATCGCCTAAAGGTGGTTTCCCTACCCTGGTTATTGCTTTGGGCTGTCTGGACTGATATTTTCACTCAACTGTCAGTGGTGGGAATGTTGTATTGGCAGCCACTTTTCTCTCAAGGTAAAATAAAGCTGACAGTAAGGAAAATATATCCTAAAGTAAATAGGAAAGCAAGAAAACAGAGCGGGAAAGAATGACCCCGCTGGGAGAACAAAGGTTTATGCCCTCACTTACACTTCATGACCCTGTACTGCTCTCTGATTCTTGATGTGATCTGCTCAGCACTTCCTTGAGGCTGATCAGAGTACCACAGAGCTTAATAATGTCACACCCAGCAGAAATGTACATGGGGTTGTTCTTTGAGCACTAAGTATCTGCAGGGCTGTTGTCAGTCATGGCCTGCCTCTCTCTAGGGAAAGTGAACTTGGTGCCTTCCTTCTCTCCATGCAAGATCTTGCCCTCAGTGTGTGAAGTGAACCAATCAGAATGGACATGCCACTCTGATCTTTATGGCCTAGAAGGAGTCATGGGAGGTCTTTTCCAGATCACCTGCAGCTCATGTTCCAGTACCAGGTTACAGATATCTGGGGATTCCCCATGGGCCTACACTGGACACTCGTTCTGTCCAAGACTGTGCATATATACCCACTGTAGAAAGAGTGGTCTTTTGGGAATGCAACTATCTGAGTCTCTTTCTCATTGCTGGGAACAGCACCTGACGCGCACAACTTAAAGGAAGACAGGCTTATCTGGCTTACAGTTGCAGTGGGTTCATTCTAGAGGTAGCTGGCTCCGTGGCAGAAACACGTGGTGGGAAGGCATGGTAGAGGAAAGCTGCTCATCCCGTGGCAGCCAGGAAGCAGAAAGGACAAGAACACACCCTTCCAGGTCATACCCCGCCCCCACTTCAGAACTCATATGCAACCAGAACCCACCTCCTCAAAGCACATACAGCTACTGAACTAATCAATCCCCTGATGAATACAGAACCACATGATCCCAATCACCTTATAAAACACAAGAGTTTAGGGGGACATTTTAGATCTAAACCACTACAGGAACTCTTCTTGTACAGACAGGAACTAATAAATGGTTTGAGTTTCCCAGGAGGTTTCTAAAGAGGATTTGCCACAAAAAAACTGTGAATTCTGGGTGTCAAAATAAAAACAAAAGCAATATATGTCCACTAAAGTCCTTCCATTCTATCATAATTATTTTTGTCCAGATTCATGCCACTGACTTTGCAGTGTATGTCTGAAACTTAATGTTGCAGTTAGAAAGCAGACCATCGAGAGACTCTGGGAAGGACAAAACATGAGACGGTCCCAGGGCAAGAAACCTGCAGAAGTGAGAAATTGTCACAGGACCCAACATCCATGACAAAGTCGCCAATAACTTGGCTTCTATGCTCAGTTGTCTCATCTTTGGGCTTTTTACTGCCATTCTAGTTCACTTACTGCCGTGTCTTAGAATGTTATCACCAGGACACCTCTGCCACTAGAGTCATGCATGTCATCCCACCCTTCCAGCATGCACTGTTTTCAACTCCAGGCCACTCCTTCCTGCATTTACTCATTTATTTAGCTAGTTCCACCTTTATTTTTTCCACTTCAAGTTTTACCAGGCAACCAAACAACATTTGAAGAAAAGCTCAGCTCCAAATAGGCATCTTTCAGTTTCCATCAACCCTTCCCATCTCTTTGTCTTTCCACAAATGCCTTCCTATGACTGATCACTCATAAATGTACCGCCACCACCATAAATTGGGGTAGGAGACGCTTTCTAGTATTTTGTAAAACTCTGCTAAAGTATTAGGCGCTTCTGTAGTGAACCTTCAAGACCTTGCGAGACGCACTTTCAAAGTTGGCGCTGAACACTCATGAGGGTTAGGTGTGGTGGGGGCCGATGTGAGAATAAAGTGAAACAACTCGAAGGTCAATCAGAGCTCAGTACAACACAAATCCATTTAGAAATGTGTTTGAAAGCAATCGAACTTGTAAAGAAGTTGTACGAACGGTAAACAATAGTATACATTTTTAGATTTACCTAGTATTGATATTTTGACATATTTTCTCTCTTTCCATGTCTCTCCACACATATACACAAAAGTGCATTTCTTAATGAATAAGTTATATATCATGTATGTGTCATAGATCGTGTGTTTTTTTTCTTGAATATTTCATTGTAACTAAGAAAATGTTTGGTATGATCATTTGAAATGAAATAAACCAGACTCTCAAAGTCAATTTTTGAATGTTTTCCTGAATATATGGATTTTTTTTTGAGACAGGGTCTCACTGTGTAGTTGAGACTGACCTGGAACTGACTGTGTAGTCCAGGCTTGTCTTGAACTCACAGAGACCCTCCTGCCTCAGCCTCCAAGTGCTGGGATTACAGGCCACCACACCTGGCTAATATGTGGAATAGTAAAAGAAAAAAAGACTACATGACAATAAAAGGGACACGAGGATGGAAATAAGAGGGAAGGGAACAGAGTGTTAAGAAAACTAACAGGAGGAATGGATATGACCAAAATATATTACAGGCAAGTCATAAGATACATTAAATACCACATTAAAATCTAATTATTTTATAAAATTAACATGCATTAGTAAAATACATAATTCTCTTATGTACTCAGTTATCTTGATCAGTGAATTTAATGCTGGCATAAAATTTTTAACTAATCTCATTTACATTTCATTTTTGTCAACTTATCCAGCAGTATAAAAGTGCTTTATAAAATTTCTGTCTGGAATCTTATATTGCATTTAGTTGTCATGTGTCTTAGTTTCCTTTAATCTAAGACAGTTTCTCAGCCTTTTTTTTGTTTTTGACATGGCTACTTTTGAAGAATATATCCAGTGGTCTATTTTATGGTCACCTTCTCAGCTGGACATTTTTTGGTGAAGTTTATCTTGCTTACACTTTAATGGATGCTTTTATATTTGTGAGATGAAAGGAGGCAACCTGGGGAGAGCTTGTTTTGGGGAGAGACAAAAGTGACATTGTGGATGCAGGAGAAGACAGGCAAGAAAGGGGCATCATTACAAGTGAACCTTCATCACATGAAAAGGAAAGGACTGGAGGTCTGGAGCCACAGCAGAGTCACAAGATAAGGAAACATGGCAAGCAACGTCAAGACTTAATGTCAACTGTTTGCGATACATAATAAAGCTTCAGGGAGTACCTCAGTTAAGTGACTGGCTCACAAGGGGAGAAAAACAAATACATTATAAGCTATCCACAAAAATGACATCTTCGGTTAATGCCTAGGCATTTAAAATTTTAAGCTGTTATCCGGTAGCTTGCTTCTAAAAGTGGTTCATCATCTAAATGTTACCAGGTTCTGGGTTGCTTACCTTTCCTTCTGTAGTAAAGATTCCAGGTGGTTCTTCTCTCAAAAAAAGAATTAGATAAGACAAGCTAAAAACTGCCAAAAGTTTATGTGAAACATAAGGGGTGAAGGTATATGAAAGAAACCAGCTAAACAAGATCAAAAAAGGTTAAAAACAAAAGTACACACTGCAACTGGGAAACAGTGTGTACAATGTGAAAGACTTCAAGGTATACATTAGTATGCTTTTATGCTCTCTGAATCTCAGGGAAACCTGTAAGCACTTTTACATCCAGGTTCTGAGAGGCGGGGCTGAGATCCAATGCCTGAGGCTGATGTCAGGTCTAGGCCATCCTATTGAAAACCTGCTTGAGTTCTCAGGAGAGGTCCACAGGCAGGGCTTTGGGAACTGTTCTGCATATGTGTCCAGGATCTTGTAACTAACAGGTCACACCTTCTTCCCCAGCCAGTTTAGCCATACCCTACTCTCCTATCCCATTTCCCCTTGAGAGACACAAATCCCCAAAATTATTTATGGGATGCTGAGGGACTGGAAGTCTCTTTTTCTGTAACTTCTTCATGCTGGAAGGGGCAGTAGACCCTACCTACTGGGGATTATGTGCTCTCCAACTATCTTAGGTTGCTGTGGCTCACTGGCTGGGTTGAAGAAAGGAAAACCCATCAGAGAACAATAAGAGCTAATAACTATTGACCTTCACCACTAGCTGAAATATGCGGAGCAGTCTTGCTTTTTGAAGAGAAATCTCAAGTCTTCCAGAATCCTCACAGGAGTGGCTGGTTCCCTTTGGGTGATCTGGTTCTTCAGACAGTTCAGATGGGACTAGCTTTAGTTCAGAAAGATGAATCTAATTATCTGTCTCTGCCATCAAGGATCACCAGGGCAGAGGGGAGCTTTCCATTTTGGGTTTAACTGGTCAGCAAGTGTTCCCTCTCTCAGTTTTTTTTATTCCCCATTAAGTTTATTGCTACATTTAAAGCAAGCAGTTACATTTATCATTGTACCTTTACATGATATATTTTGGTTCTTGTTTATTTACCCATACACTTGCCCTTCATTCACTTCCTTCATCCTTCCTTATTTACCTTTTTTCCCTTTTCACATTTTTTTATTTTCCCTTATTTCCTTTCCCCTCCGCTTTCTACTCCCCCTTTAGCCGTTTTCTTCCTATTTCACACTCTCAATTATACCGTTTGAACCTTATTTGCACTTTTAGTTTTTCACACCAGAGAAACTATTCAGTATTTACTCAAGTGTGTCCTATTTATTTCACTTAAAAGTATAGCTTCAATGTGCATTCATTTAGCTACAAATGTCTCCAGATTCTCATTCTTTGTGGCTGAGTAGTACTCCATTTGATAGAAAAAAACACATCTTTATCCATCTCCAGTTAATGGACATTTGGGTTGTTTCCAAGTTTTAGCTATTATGAACTGTGGCACTATAAACATGGGTGTGCCTATATCACTGTGATATGATTCTTTTAATTCTTTTGGAAAGATACCCAGCAGAGGGATGGCTGGGTCAAATGGAACCTGTAGTCCTAGCTCTTTGAGGTATCTCCATATTGATTTCCATAGTGGTTGCACCAGTCTGCACTCCCACCAACAATGGAGAAGGGTTCATTTCTCCCCACAGCCCCACCAGTGTGCCTCTGTCGACACAATAGACAGCATGGGCAGAAGTGTGTAGGTCTACGCTAATTAGTCTCAGAGCCAGCAGCTGTCCCCTGTGGTTCAGGCTGATTTTTGGCTGCAGGTCCAAGTTGAGACTTCTGTCCTCCTTCTGGGTTGAAATCTGCAAGGTTCTACTGCAGGTTTCAGCTCTCTTTGTCCTGAAGTTAGACCAGTGCCAATGTGAGTCCCTCTGACTTACCAACTATGGTGGTGTGGTGTGCCTTTATTGCAGATTTTCTTAACTTTTCCAGTGGGCTTCAACTTTCATCTAGGAGCTTTGGAGAAGCTTTCTTTCTCTTGTTTGCCTGGGTGAGGGGTCCAAACATCACTGTATTGGTGTCTGTGCTGTGGGGCTCCTCTGTGGCACCAAGTTGAAGGGGCAGGCCTACAGTCACACAAGTGGTCAGTGGCAGCTGGGCTCCTCTGTGGTGCTGTGTCGAAGACTCTTTCAAAGGTTTTAGAAGCACTTGGTCTCCAGGATGGACAGTAAGTGGTCCTCCTAGTCCAGGAGCAGGCAGAACTTTGTTCCCATACATTTGGATAGCCTGTTGCATGTGGTCCAGATTTATGAAACATTGTTAGAATCTTATAGTTTCTGGGTGTTCTAGCATATCGGAGGATAAAAATGGCCTCCTATGTAACATTTCAAATAGGCTCAAAGTTAGTCCACTTTTGGGCATGTTACAAATCCTCCTGAGTGCTATTGGCAGAACTTGGAGCAAGGACTCAGAAGTCTCTTGGCAAAGTTTTGCCAGAGCTCACTTTAGGGTCTGGTGGCTCTATGTTTCCAGAAGATTAAGTCCAACAGGAAGAATGGAGGTGGTGCTTTATTCTTAAAGCCTATGCCACCACCTGAATTATTTGGATAGTAAAATAAAGTCCATGGTGTCTCTGTAGGGACTGGGGTAGTTTAAATCTGGGGATGATTTCTTTAGGAAGCACCTTGACTACCTCTGTAACCTTTTCTGAACAGGTAGGTTAGGCTTCCATCTAGCCTGTAAATATGCCAATTAGAACTAACATCTGTTTACATTTTCCACATGATGGCATATGGTAAAGTCTAATTGCCAGGCCTCTCCAGGATATGTCCCTCTTCTCTGTACAGGTTTTAATAAATGAGACAGTTTGGGCTTGCCAGGGTTATTGTAGGCACAGAGCGGGCAAGTTTTACAGACCTTTTGGGTGTTTGCTGCTAGTCCTGCTTCTGTGAAAACAACTGACCATTTCCAATGTAACATCTCTTCTTATCTGAAAAGAACCATGAAGGATTTTTATATAGCCTTGCCCTGTATCCCTTGAGGAAAGACCAGTTTGTTTTCTGTGGGACAATTAAAAACTCATGTTTAAACATTTGGTCTGCAAAATGACATGTCAAAGCAGGAGTAAAGAATTTTCAGCTAGTGGTCTCCTCAACCCCATCTAAGGCTATAGAACTAGAGGAGAATTTTCCATAGAAGGAAATCAAAACAGAATGAGCTTCCCCTGTATCAATACACAGCCAAATTGGTTCACCCATGGCATCTAAGTTTACTCAGGGTAAATTGGGCCATAGGTGTCTGTGGTCATATCTGAAGCTTTTGTAGATTATGTGGAATACCTGGGGCTGACTGACAGTGAAATTATGATCCATTAGTGCCTCTCCCTCCCTGGAAGGTGGATCTATATTAGTATAATTGGTAGAAGAACTCTGCTAAATGGTTATAAAACAAAGCTGTACCCTGTAAGACCCCACTCTATTATAATTAACAGATTTTCAAATGCACCTTTTCATCTTTATGATAAGAGCAGCTAGCATATTAGACATCATTTGTAGTCCATGACTAGTATTATATTCCCAGTTTGGCTCTGTTGAAGGGAGAAAAGGGTGGTTTCCTTCCCTTTTCAAAGCATATTACTTATTTGCATAATTTCTAGCCTCTTCTAGGATTCTTTGCATTTCATCTGGGGTACAGGTAGTGGCCAAGATGAATTGTAAATCTTGCTATAATAAATCAAAATCAAGGGGCAGTATTTGAAACCTGTATGCAAACTTACTAGGGTCCTAGTAAGTTTGATAGTTGGCCTAATTTTTCTTTGCACTGTTGGATATCTGCAAATGAAAAAGGGCCTTGAACTGAAGTTTTCCTTTCCACCCCTGGAACTTCTCTTAGGGGCATGATGAGTTGTGAATTAGAGAAATAAAAAGCACCACTTCAAGTTCTATCTGCAGGACTTAAAGCTCTCTGAGAAGCATGATAAGGGGGCTGAGCAACGCTGGGTTCCCCTGAGGCACTAGGCTCTAATGGAGTTCTTGAGTTACTTGGAGGAAGTAGAATTGATTTATTGGCCTGAGGGCTATAAGGAGGAGGGCAAAAAAGACCTCTCAGTATCATCAAACAGATCTGAGAGATCCATATCTCCTGGAGAGACAAATGGAAGTCTCAGGATGGGGTCATCCAGAATATCTTTATCCTCTTTGGGGGCCACTCTAAACACCACAGTTCCTTAGCATTTCCTTTGGTAGAGAGTCACAAAAGCCTGAATATTAGGCATTGCATTCCACCTTTATGTTTTAAGCAGAAATACTATAACTAGAGAATCATGTCATGATTTAAAGTATCATCCTGTACCTGTTAGATTTCCTTTGCCTCAAGAAGGCTGCTACATAAAACAGTAGCATCCTTCCCACAATGCTCTGTGCCTTAAGATGGCTGCCAAATGGGATAGCAGCCTCCATGTTAAATATGGCTTCTCCTACCAAGGGACAGCCTTCCTTCTCCCAACATTCCTCTTTTCTAGCTGAAAGAGTAGCCTGATACTTGCTAATCTGAGTAACCACTGGTGTCACAGGCTCCTCCTATCCCTTAATGCTACCCCACCCAACTCCACTCCAGCTCAGGTTAACCCCACCCTGCTACTATAAAAGAGGTTCCCTGTTCCACCATGCTGCTTTTCCTTTGTTAGGACACAGCCAGGCAGATCTGCCCCATAATAAAGGCTTGTAGTCCTAGTCTGGTCCTGCTTTTTTGGCTCTTTTACCTAACAGTACCGATCTCTCAACGCCTCCCAGTTCATACTGTATTGCAATAATAGACAAGCTGCTTCTGTTTTAGTTTGTCAGGATAAAACCTTTCCCACTCTTTGAGAGTGTGGCCCAGTGTCAATATCAATCTCTGTGGTGGTGAGATCCAATAGATCGCCCATCTGCTTGTCTTGGGACCTACAGAGAGAAGGAGACAGCTAACCCTGTACTCCTTAAGAAGGTGTCCTACACATAAGAAGGAAATCCAAAGTCCACAAGGTGCAGCTTGTGAGACTACAAAACCTGGATAGATGTCTGTATCCTGAATCTTAGAGTGATGCTGGCAGCGTTTACTGGAGAAGAAAGCCCCTCCCTGGGGGTGGGGGTGCCTCCACATTTGGACCCATTAACTCATTAGGGAGAAGGGGGCTGGGCCATCTGTTGGCCTTGTCTAGTCCAAATTCCCCTGAGGTAATTGGCAGAACCTTCTCAAGCAAAATTCTTTCAACTACCTCTTTGTATCCCTTGGTGGTCCAAATTGTATTTGAACCATATGGGAAATCATCTCTTGCACTTATTCTGACAGAAAAAAACACTAAGAATTGTGATGGCTATTTTCATACACTTACATTTACTTTAGTTTACACTAACATTTAAGTTTTAAGTGTTAAAATGCTTTGTTCAGGCCTCAAGTATCAGTCTTTAATTTGTCTGTGTTTAAACAAGAAAGCACAAAAGCCATTGATGATTGCCTGAGGAAGGGTCCTGGACTAGAGGGCAGAGTGTTGCTCATGTTCAGTTCTGGACAAAAGCCTTGGACATTTTTAAATGGACATTTTTTTTCTTGCATTCTCATTTCCCCCACAAGCCAGAGTAAGACTGTACAGCTCAGCCATGTTGGGAGCAGGCCTCCCTGGTGTTGCTCATGGGCCGGCATTTGCCCATGGCCACAGCCAGGCAGTCTGTTTGTATCTTCCCCCTCAAAAGTTTTGTGCCAGCAAAGGCTTCATGTGTTCTCAAAGAGATAGTAAATAGGGCTGGGGATTTAGCTCAGTGGTTCCTCCACCTGCCTTATAAGCACAAGGACCCGAGTTCAATCCCTGGTACCACAAAAAAAAAAAAAAGAAAGAAAAAAATCTTTTATAGTATAGAATTTCTTCTCCTGTGGGGAAAAAGAAAAAGGTTCCACTCTCTGGTTTACCATAAACCCATATGATGTTTAAAATCAGAGGCTTAGCTTGTAAGGCCATTCATTAAAAAAGAAGGGGGTGTTATAGAGGAAAGAAAAACTGATGGTGGGAGGTGACCCATGTAAAAGTTATATATAGTCATCCAACAAGACAAAATGGCAGAGATAGAGGGGGAAATAAAACAGATGATGAACGCCCAGATAAAAGTTATTCATAGTCATGTGACATGACAAAATGATGGCTGTCCACATGGCCCAGGTAACATAGCAGTACCCACAATGAAAACACAAACCAAAAACAAAGCCACTTACAAACTAGGGTACACAGAGACAAGGATAATTAAGCAAAATACAACATAACTGTTCAGACAATAAGGCACACCTGCAAAAATGAAGAGGAGCAACTAGAAAGACAAAAGTCTATATTCTTGTCCCTTATTCCCTATGGCTAAAGTAGCAAACAGCTACTTGAGCACCTTGAGAATGGTCTACTGCATCTCCAGCCTATGGGATAGAGTAAGGAATAGGAGAAAAGAAACTTCGTGGTAATTTAGAAAGAAACTAAGAGTGTGCCCACGTGGGCCTTACCTTTGTCTCTGGCACCTGAGCTTTTCTCCTGGCTGGCTACGCCAAAATTTAATGGGTAGCCTGTATCCAAAAGTGGCTCATCAACTAAACATTACGGAGTTCTGGATTGTTCACCTCTACTTCTGGTTAGATTCCAGGTTCTTCCTGTTTAAACAAAGAATTGGATAAGAAAAGCAAAAAATGGTACCAAACATTTTAAAAGTGAGGGGTGAAATGATAATAGCAGAAACCAGCACTGCAGAACAAGATAAAAAAGATAAAAGCAAAAATAAAAGTACACTCTGTGTTTGGGAGACACAGCATGGGCTAGCATGGGAAGTCATGGTAGTAACCTCTTTATGGCTTGCCTCTCCCTTTATACCTTCCAAATCTCAAGGAAACCGCTGAGAATTTCTACCTCTGGGTCCTGAGATGTGGTGCTGAAATCCCTTGTCTCAGGCTGATGTCAGGTCTAGGCTGTCCTATTGAAAGCCTGCTCAAGTTCCCAGAAGTCCACATGCAGGGCTTTGGGAACTGTTCTTTACAAGTGTCCCAAGATCTTGTAATTAAAAAGTTCCACCTACTTCCCCAGCCAGCTTTGCCATACCCTAGTCTCCTATCTGAAATCTATCATGAACAGAATTGTTTTCCTGATTTTTTTCTCAGTGAGTTCATCACTGGTGTAAAAGAATCAGTGTAGGGCCAGGGATTTAGCTCAGTGGTTGGTTCCAC